TTAGTATTTTCGTTTGGAGTTTGTTTCTTTAGTTCTCGTTGCGCGAATCGTGCTCTACGGGAAATTCTGGTTAAGAAGCATGTATCAGAATGCTTAAATTCGTACCTTGTCTAATGGTCCATTGTGTTTTTCAGTTCGTTTTTGGGTACCTGCGTTTCACGTGTTAAATTGAATTATTACAGTTCTAATATTCAACTCGTTTCTAATGCTTCCTTTCTTTGTGTGTGCAGGAAAAAAAGAAAATCTATACCAAACCGTGCCAGACGTGCTCTGGGGTTATGCTGGTGATGATAGTGTTAATGTCACAACCAGAGACATGAGACCCTCCACTGGCCTCTTGGCGACAGGAGGAAGCTTTTACTTTCGGGGATTCAACACTTCCATATGGGCAATGGACCAGTAGACAAGGCACGAATTTCAGCATTCTGATACACGTTTCTTAACCAAAATTTCACGTAGAACACGATGCGCACAACGAAAACTACCGAAATCAACTCCTTATGAAGATATTTAATGATTATTGATGCGTGAATTCAAACCAAGCGCTCATGAAAACTAAACGCTTTACGTGATTCACATCGTGCGCTAAACGTTATCATGACAGTCTCTGCGATATAAAAATCTGGCAACCTTAATCTTGACGCTTCGGCTCAGCTATAGCAAGTTGTTTATAGCTTGAACAGCACATGGTGGGAAATGAACATCGCTTGATTGAGAAGCTCGCTGAACCTGTTGTAGTCCACGATTTGACTCACGCTGAGCTTTGAGTATTTTATGAGCGGGCAGTTCAAATTCCTCGTAACCAATGTGAGATAAAAACGTTGATATCTTTGTTAGAAGTTGATTTCGGTAATTTTCGTTGCGCGAATCCTGTTCTATGTGAAATTCTGGTTAAGATACATATATTCGAGTGCTTAAATTCTTACCTTGTCTAGTGGTCCATTGGTGAAAATGTAATCATTATTCAACTGCTGTCCGACTGATTCAACTGCAACAGCGGCCTGATTGCCGGACCGAGCGCCGGCCGCCGCACAGTGCGGTCCTCTGTGGACAAAAATAACAAATTCTCAAGTCGACATCTGAATATTTTTTTCGGACTTTGTTATCTTAAAGATATTTCTGACTCACTATGATGGTTCGTTTTCAAATTTTCCGCTCAAAACTACCTCAAATGTAGGTAGAAAGTGGGCAGGAAATAGGTCGGGAATCACTGATCCGTAAGAAATACACGGGAAAAAGACGTCAACCTCAAATGGAAATTTCTCGCTTGAAACGCAAAATGCTGTGGGTGGTTGACATTTTCTTAATCTTCAGATATACAACTTCAATTCTACGGAAAAGATCTTGCGACTTTTTGCGACTATCAGAGATATTTGAAGTTAAAGTTCGGGTGTTTCGCGTTGCTTTTACATTGTTAACACAGGGCTAATTCGAGGTTGCCAACTTCGAATGAACTTTTCTTGAAAAATACGCAAAAAAGCCTGAGGTATAACATTTCCTTATTCCTCGAGTGTTTTAATTTGATAGTACCAAAGGGTTTTCCTATGTCGGCCCTATTATCTTCATTATTTAAAGTCAAGTCTTTTGCCGATTTTTGTCCGCATCGTCCATAAGGGTGCCGCACTGTGCGCCGGGGCTACCGATGCTCGCACCCCGAGTTAGACTATATTTTGCAATTTGGAACTATAAATTCTAGCAACACATTTAGCAAATATAATTCTTGAATATATTTATAAATAGATCCTATCCCTAAGTCTCTATAGATGTCTTTATTAGTCTATGGAAAATGCTCTCGCGATATCGTACACGAGCCTCCGCAGAAGGTATTAGAGCCCTTCGCACGCAAATATAATATATATAGTATATATATTATATATTATAGATATAGTTAGTTAGTTTTAGTTAACGACGATCATATATACTATAGTATATATATATATCAGTAATTGTTTCACGTATTAAATTAAATTACAGTTCTGATATTCAACTCACTTCTAATGCTTTTTTCTAATTTTTCTCCTCATTAGTCATATAAACGTATCTCAGCTTTCGCGAGAGCCCTGTTTTTCGTATGCATCTGTGATTCCTACGGTTCATGTGGGAATTTCAATTAAAATTGTGTTTTTCAGTTGGTTTTTACCTAAGTTTCACGTGTTAAATTAAATTACGGTTCTAACATTCGACCCGCTACTGATGGTTTTTTTTTTTTTAATTTGTCCTTAATTACAGTGTGCTACAATCAAAACAAAAAAAAAACAAAAAAAAATATTTTAATGGAAAGAACAATAAGCAAAAAAACATGACAGTATACACATAAAAAGTGTATTTTAAATAGTGTAAATCATATAATCACCATAAGAGTATACGAGTAACATTACTTTTTTCCTAATTTCAGCGGATTTCCTTTTGATTTAAACTTAAATCTGATTGAATCAAGAGTATTTTTTCTTGTCAATGTTTATAAGAGTCTGGACTCTACATCTAGTGTGGTAAGTTCTAAGGCGAATTTGCAAATGTTCTCTCTTTAAATTTTAGAAAATTTGGATCTGGTTGTAAAAAACCATTCCCTGAAACATTGGAAGAGGCATATCAATTCACAGATTTCAAAAATTAGTCTTGTATCAAAAAAAAAATTTGGCAACATCCGAAGGCTTATATGGCATTCTTCCTTAACATGAATGTGCTTAACTTATTCCACTGAGGAAAATTTTCGGAAAAATGAGAACGGAAGAATGAGAAATAGAGAACGGGATCAGGATCAAAATTCAAATATTAGTAGTAGTTTAATTTAAAAGGAATCGATATAAAATTACTTGCAGGTCTAAATCAAGGCAACATTTAAAACTTGAAGAATTCAAGTTGTTACTTGCGGTGAGAAGTGAAAAATAATCCTTTAGATTTTCGTAAATTAGATAATTACAAAAAGTCTGGCTCAAAGTAATTGATCTGTCGTGGAAATCGTCGGGAACTTGAACGCACGATTAGAGCGATCGCCGCGTCAACAAGAAACGCCTTCGAGAAGGCGTTGATACCACTAATCGTACACCTAGCATACATTTCTACATACTTTGCTGTAATTAGTGCAGAACCATTGAATTGAAGGCGTTCTTAACGCCCTTCTGAGGAATTTGAACCGCGAGTCAGATTCGACCGGGTATGAAGGGCTGACGGACCGAAAGTCCACCGGAGGGTGCTGTATCGATCGGAAATGGACAACGTACCAGAAAGAGATGGGTGCTTGCAGTATTGACCGGATACGAAGGCTCTACGCGACAGAAGTCGACCAAACCTCCTAGTGTCGACCGGAAATTAAGGGGCAACGTACCCAAAGGTAGCCTTCAGTTAAATGAAATTTAGCTTCGCTGGGATTTCCTAGAGATTGTTCCTGTCATTCAGTTTGTATCGATTACTACGAGCAAAGCACGTAATATGAAATATTATTTCTATTTCATTTAACGCGACTTTATAAATAAGAAATTTCGGCAAGATGGTAATGGTAATGGAAGGTAATGGAAGCTTTGATTTCAACCCGAATATTTCATGATTAGTAGCTCCTAAAAGTGTTTGCCGGAAAAGGGAACATTTCACAATCGCAGTTTTTGAAATCTTCAAGAACGCGTGTTCATATTGCCATTTTAAGGTTGTGAATTTTTTAAACTCTAACATATGCTACTTTAGGGTGCACGATTGTATCACTTGCGCGTCTGTAGAAACAAAGTAAATTTTCAGTCGCAATTTACTGAAAACTAGGTTTTTGCACATGGCCCCGTTTTCACGGCAATATATTCAATTGCTCACTTGCTGATAATGCTGCCAAAAACCCGTAACTTAATTTCAAACTATCCCAATTTTTCTATCGAAACTTCATTAGCTCCTACAGGTTTGTTTTAAACAAGAAGAGAGACTTGTGCGAACAATGCTACTCTAGGCTCTTGAAAGCCCAAATAACTTAAGCTTTTGTTCATAACATCCAGACTCGGCGTTGAATTAATCCAGCACTTGTGTATTACATTTACTTAAATCGCTGCGGACAGTGCTTCAGACTGAGCCTCGTATTTCTTCCAACAAGATCGTGTGTTGACCGAATGCAATGTCGTTGCAATCTATCTTCACAGCTGAAAACAAGTACGAGGTGCTGATAGTCGGGGGACGCAATTTTTAGTTTTCATTGAATATACGTGTTGCATACTTAAGTAGTTGAAGGCGTTTTGGTTTTCTCTTATATATGGGAATTGATTTCTCTCTTGTGCCTGAACAATCAGATACAAAGGTGGCTTAAATATTACGTACCATTGAGAGGAAATTATATTTTATTTTGTTTTCATTTGAGGGGCTTGCAAAACAAGGCGCATAAGTACAGTTATATCGCTATTTTGAGAAAAACTTGTTTGAAATTTCGAAATTACACGAATCCTCAGGGCGGAAAGAAATTTCAAACTGGCGTCTTGATGCTTAAAAATTGGACTTTGGAAGCAAATTTTTTAGAAAAGCATTTTAGAAAATCAAATTTAAATTTCTATAGCTTGTGCAAAGCTGAGAGTATGACAAACAAAACCCTATTTCGGTACCGATTTTATTTTCATGGAACCGTTGAAAAAATGGCACTATTACCCTTACTCCCTTACTCCCTCACTCCTCTGGCGTACGGGCTTGTCAGAAAGAATTGATTTATTTTATGGATTTAATGGATTTATTTTTTTGAAATCGAGATACGCTCTACGTCAGAGGGACGATGACTTTCATGACGGCTCTCGAAAAAGAAAAACATTTTATGTTCCACATGTGATTCACAAAGTTTTTGTGCGTCAATTGTAATTTTCGTGCGTTTTTCCGCGTAAATAGTCTACTTAACCCGTTGTACCTCTAGCTTTAACCATACCAATTCACTTTTTGCTTCCGTTTTTAAGAAAACGCCGAGTCAGCGTATTCAGGTATACAGGCACGCAGTCAGAATGCGGTAAAAAGTTGGGAATGTTGTAAAAAATATGTTAGAACATTTGCGTGCGTTACTGATGAAAGCAAAGCATGACATGTGAATGGAACTTTTTCTCATAGGTTTACTCATTCCTTTCTTTCCATATCTCCTCCTTTTTATATTATCCATTTTTCGTCATTTTAAAGTATATTTTTTTCCTTCGGTAATCGAGACGACTGTGTGCAAGGAGCATCGACAGGACATACGCAAATTTAGTCACTCACAGTTTCTGTTTGGTGGTTCACTCGTGTGTCGGGAGGATGCGGGTGCGCGTTTGGTTTTACTTGGCCGTCTTATTTTCATGCGTCAGCAGTTCAGTGAGTATATTTACATGCGATTTTGTAGCATCGCGTCCAAGATATTGGACGCCGTGCTTCTCTTGATATACTTGCCTGCTCATCTCGTCTAAAACCTAACTTGAAGAGACATCCCCTAGTAATGTCCATCCATTCTTCATCTTAATAGAAAATCGCATACTTTTTGTATCTATTCCAATCTAACCTTACCTAACCTAACCTATCCAGTGCGCGATTTTCTACGAGAACATATGGTAATCGTCATTATTTCACAATAATTGTCTTGATGAGCTTTTTGACCCTATGCTCGTCTAATGTCATAAAATATCTGCATCCCACGATTTTGGAGGGTACGCTCAATTTGATTTTTTCGAAAAAATCATTGGACAGATCTTAAAAAGTATATCTAAGTCGTTTAATTTGATGCCATCATCGTCCCTGCGTGACCAAAATTAGACCCGTGACAGCAATTCCTTTTCATTCATGAAGATCATCGCATTATTACAGAATATCGCAGTGGAACAAAAAACAAGAAGAAAAACCAACATAAATATGTTGAAAAATTGTGCCGAATAACTGAAATGTTGGACACATACCTACTAATTTCACGTCTTTGCTGTTTGTATCAATTGGTACTTTTCGCTAAAGGGTGAAAATATTGATTCATGAACGATGAATGTAAATTAGTTTTGAAGATTCTGTCCAATTATTTTGATTTTAAGCTGATATGCGGCATATACGCACGACCACGATTCAGGCGAACTGCCGTGCATCAAAATCTCGTTAAGTTAATCTCTTTGGATTTCGAACTGTAACTTCTCTCCTATCCGGCCGATTTTAACAAATGAGGTCTCTTTTTATTTGTATTGTTACGGAGAGAAAGGAAAAACACTCGCTAAATAGACGGAAAACGATTTTTGTGAAAATTTAGTGGATCCTGGCGTCACAGTGAATGGTAAATCGGGCGTGAAAGATAAGGTTTGACGGCGGCTCAGCGGTTTTTGACTGCGTATGAACTCCGACTACGAGATGCATCTTTGCTTTCTTGGGGGGGAACGACAAAAATGTCCATCCATACAAAAATGAACTATCTTTGGGAATTATGAAACACTAGGGGGCTATGCTCCCTGTCCGCTACGCGGCCAAACCCCCAGAGAGCGCTTCGCCCTCTCTTAGGCCCGCTTCGACAAAAGAACGACCGAAAAAAATGCAAAGATTTTCATACCCGACTCTCATTTGTCCAATCTTTCTCCGGCCGGGAGCGATTGCACTAATAAAAATCAAATGAGAAATTCGCAATTTATTTCCAACCTCAGGCCAAGACGGAAACGTAACGAAACGAATGGAACGGAACGTTTGGTTACTTTTGGATAGTCCGTAGTAAAGGAGCACAACCTCCGATTCACTTACCTTACCCTACTAACAGCCCAAGATTCACAATTTTCCGCGTACCTCAAATTCTGCCCCTTTTCTAAGCTCCTAGGTATACCCAATTTTAAAGAAATCTGGGTGATATTTCCACAATCTGATTACAGCGGGCTCATCTAGGGACTATCATCTGCAGATAGCCGCCATAATTATGCCGGAAATCGGCCCAGTAGGACGCTCAAACTAACTATGACAAAAAATAAAAATTTACATTGTTTAAATGGGAGATTTCGAAATTTTACCACGTAATATAAAAAAACCTGGGTCATATTTTCAAAATCCGAATAAAGCGGGCTCATCTAGAAACAATTGCCTGTCGATAACCGTAAAAATCATAAAAATCGGCCCGGTAGAACGTTGGAACTGAGCGTTACTAGATATGCAGATTTAGGAGGCCTTGGAGCATACATACTACTACTAAAGGTGTAGTTTTACTGATTCTTATCAAATCTGACCAGTTAAGGGACTTGGAGGGCGAGGCGCATAAGTACAGTTCTTGAAAAAGTTGAAATATGAATTATTGCAAGTATGACTTACTCTGAGTGTCTATATTTTGCGAAAAATTCGCTCTCACGGTACAATGTTTATGAGCATCGAAAAGTCAGTTTAAACTTCCTTTCCGCCATGAGGATCCATATAAATTAGAAAATTCAAACATGGATTTCTCTCTGCACTTATAATTGGCCTCTGAGCCCCTCAATTTACTTTTGGACATCAAAGTGCAAAACCTCCTATCTCCCACTGAGATGACTGTAGGGAAACCTGGAAAATCACAAGCTTGTGCAATCGAATTTGCACATCACGATTTTAAAAAAAGCAACGTCCTCCTTCAACGGTTAGTATTTGCATATGCAAACTTGGCTAGGAATTCAAAGGCCAACGTAAAGTGCTTTTTTTGCTAAGAGCACTTAACTCGATTTGAAGCCTCATATTCGATTCTGGAATACCACGGTTTTTAGGAGAATGGAACGTTCGAATCGATCAACGACGAAAATTCTGGGTCTAAATTTGTGAGTTGACCTTTTAAAATTTTTTAAATTTTCGTCATGTTTTGCGTGCAATTTCGAGACAAAAACATGTATCCATCAATTAATATCGCATCCATGCTCAGTGGTCTAATTGCGTCGAAGGACAGACATTCACAGACAGGCTCGCAGCTTTTTTTTATTTTTTTTTTAAAGATAACGAAATATTTATTAATTGTATAACAAAGGTGGAACCATTATTAGACAGATAATGGCTGAAGGCCTAAGAATACATGTTAAGATATAAGAAGTCCTATGAATATCCACATGAAAATTCCCCCTTTAGAGTTCCCTTATAGCGCCTTAATTATAAATTACAAATGTACAGGAAAGCTCCTCAGACTTCTATAGATTCATTCAGCATCGTTTGCCTCGGAATCGTCGGTTGACATGTCGTCGAGGGAGGAGGGTGGGTTGGTTATTTCTTCAGTCTTCGTATTATCTTCTTCTTTATTTAGGGCTCTTTGTTTTTGTTTGAGAATGTCGGTTATGAATTCTTGAATAAGGTGCCATTTCTTCTTTGAGGTAGTCATCCGTTCAATGATGTTTTCAGGTGTTAATGAAACTTCTAGAAGATTCTGAAGGTGTATTCTTGGCGATGTGATAGATTCGCAATGGAAAAAAGTATGTTCCGCTGTACCGATTGCTAAGGTGTTGCACATTGGACAATGTGGGGAGTTTCTCTTCTTAAATCTGAATAAATATAAGAAGAGAAACTCCCCACATTTTGCTCGCAGCTTCTTGGCAAAGTGTTTTTTTTTTTTTCTCTCTCATTGCCAAGCAACAAGGAAATCACTCTCAAATTACTTTGAAATGTACTTATGATTCCTACTAGATGATAACTTCAAGATGAATGTCCGTCTGACCTTCTGCTATTGGAGGGATTTTTATGAAAAAGTGTCCGTCAAAATAATGTTAAACATAATAATTAAACATGTTGTTAAATAATACGAGTTTATTTCAAAGCTTTTTTATTTTAAAGCCGCGCTAAGGAGAAACGCCGCGTATAAGGCTTCAGGCGTTGCCGAATTTATACCGCACCAAATCACTAATTTTCAGGAAAATTTTTGAATATTTGCCTATCTACCAATTTCTCAGATACTTGTGTTCCTCATTTGATCAAAAGCGTCTGAGAATTTCAAGCAAAAATATTCATTATTTGCCTCAAAACTTAATATTTCACCGAAGGATACTTATTGCCAACTCTCAAATGTTCATACGGCATTCTTCCTTAGCACAGCAGTATAATGATCTTACGAATGCGCTGGAAACATAGCGTATTTGCCGCGATATTACGGTAATTATGGCGTAATTTCAATTTTTTTTTTTTTTTTTTACAAAATCCCTGGAAAAATCGAACATTTTCCAATTTGTGGAGATGAAAAGCCCGAAATATCTTAGGATTCAAAGAACCCGCTGAAAATATCGCGTTATCATCGTGATGTATTGGTGATTTGCGGAGTCTTCAATTTCTTAACAAGCAGAAATGAAGTTGGCAACTATTCGAACTCCCGATTAGTATGTGGTATCACGCAAAATTGAAGGAAAATCATAGGTTTTCGTCCATTTTATTGTTAGTTAAATGATGTTCATGAGTATGGTGAGCGCATTTGTTTTGCATATTTTCCGCAATATTCATGAGAACATTTTGTGATCATTTATTTATTTGATGAAGCAGTAAATTCGCTCGAGCAGTGGCGAACGGTCCGAATAAGCAAGGCAATCACTGTTTGCTCAAAGATTTCAGAAGGAAGGAGAAAAATACACTTATAACAAGTTTTAAATATTAGCAAACATTATTGATCAAAGGTGTTAAGTAGGTCAATTCCATGAGAGGTATAACGAGAGTGTGACAAAAATACGTGAAGGGGTGTTTGAGCCAGCGTTACGGTGCGTTAAAAGAGGGAAAGGGGGTGAAGCCAGCGTTACGTAACAAAGCCGAGCCGAGGAGAAAAGACATGGAAAAAAACGTTCAAAAAATTAAAATTCCGCACCTGTTTTTTGCATAGAGTAAGTTGAGGAGAATCTATCGGCGTAGGATGTCCAGGTAAAGATAAAGTGTTCCTAAGACTTCAACTGGACTAAGTATCCCAAGAAAAATTTCAAATGAATAATAAATTAATTTGAATAAGAAATGGAGGTTTGACATTTTTGTTACGTGCAGGAACAAAATATCGTCAATTAAAAGGGCCAAAAAAACCATCGTCAAATAGTCTGGCCAGAAGGAATTTATCTGTCATAAGAATGGTCGGGGAATTGAACGCACAAGTAGAGCGATCGCCGCGCCAACAAAAAGCGCCTTCCAGAAGGCGTTGATACCGCTAATCCTACACCTAACATACATTTCTATATACTTTGCTGTATTTGGTGCAGAAGCATTGAATTGAAGGCGTTCTTAGCACCGTTTGGAGAGACTTAACTGCGAGTTAGATTCGACCGGAGCGACCGGAAATGAAGGCTAAACGCCATGAAAGTCACCAAAACTTCTTAGTGCCGACTGGAAATGAGGGAGTAACGTACCGGTAAGTAGCCTCCAGGTAAATGAAATTTAGCTTCGCTGAGATTTCC